GATGGATATCAAGCCTTTGATCACTTTTCTGCCACATTGAAATAATATGAAAATAAAATGTTGAATTATTTGTGTTTTTAACAAATTTTAAGCAATTTCAAAAAGAAAATTAATCCTGGATATTATTTTGAAAAATTTCCCAGTGAATCTCATTTCAAACTTAAAATATTTACCTTGTCATCAGGTGTGATACAATAACAGGTGATTTCTTCATCTTCCTCCTAAAACATATAGTTTATCTTACTCTGTATACATGTATAACTGTTAAAATAGAGCTACACAAATGTATGCTACTTCAATCTGTTCAGTCATACAGTGAGTTATTTTGTTACTTATTCCTTCAAGTTACATATAAGAATTTTATCAATGGCCTGTTAAAATCTTAAAATTCTTCAAGTCATTAAAGACCAGTTATTATAAGTTATCTACGTTCATATCCCTAGATATGGATATTTTAACACCCTGAAGTATCCAGGTACACCCTGAGGCATAGCCGAAGGGTGTACAGGGTACTGAAGGGTGTTAAAATATCCATATCTACGGATATGAACGTAGATAACGAATTTATCCCCGGTCTTAGTCTAAATCTGGCGATTTTTAGAGAAATTCGACCACAAAGTTTAACGTGAAAGCAACGTTTTTTTCATTTTTTAAATATCTTTTATTGAAATTTGGGAATTTGACATATTTTTAACGGGGTGTAGGGTACTACCTTTGGTAGAACCCTACAGGTAGACAAATATAAGATGTTTTTAAACTAGAGACATAGAAACTGAAATGGGTCGAATTTGGCGCGCAATGTTGTGAGAGTTACATCATAAACGGTGTGACGTCAACGTGGGTCATTTGCATAGCTAGGTCAGTAGTACCATTCATTGACAATGTGGCTGCATAGTGATGCATTTACTAAAATGAGTGCAAATAATCGATATAATAAGATAAAATCGTTAGTGGATTAAATATTTAATTACAGACATCATGAATAATCTACAGAATTCGATATTTCACAAGGAGCAACCATGGAACTAAGGAAAACGCGTGTGATGCTCCCCGTTGTAATGGGTAGCAACGTCCGGGTATATGGGTTAGCAACACCCAGGGGCTATGGGTTTTGTAACGATGTGCGTTAACCAATCAAAATCCTAGAAATATACTAAGCCGGGGATAATAAATTATAGCAGTTGTCATTTTTGTGGTTTTAAGATTTTGTGTTTGTTTGGTTAGTTGGTTTGTTTTTTGCCTTGTTGTTTGTTTTTATTTGGTAGGTTTTGATAATGTACTGGGATCAAAATGGATAATGATGTGGTCATTCAAGGACCAATACAAAGACAAATCACATATTTTTGTAAGATTTTTCTTGGACATGTTGAACTTCAACTGAAAAACTGTTTAATTTGGTTAAATACGCACCTTGTAAGGTCTAAAGGAATATGTTTGCCAAGTTTTGATTTCATAAATATATTCTGTCCAATGGTTGTCAAGATAAAAAAAAATGTAAACTGTGTCAATACAGATAAAAATGGGCAACAAAAGTCAGGTAGTGACAATATATAACATAACCTTCTGCCAGATGAGCTAAAAACTAAAGTCATGTTTTCATAAAAGCTAATAAATAAGGCAAAGGATGTTCTACTCAAAAGTTACCATTGATGTTAATGCAGCCCTGTATATGGACGTGTACCTTGCTTTTAGAAATGAATGTCAAGATACATATATCATGTATATATTTATATTATAGCTAAATTTTTCTTCTTACTGTGCATAAGCTAAGTAGGGTCAAGCAAAGCTAACCTAAATATAGAGGAGTTTCGTATATCTTTTTAACCAGATAGAAATTGATTATCATCATTATCAGACATTTCATTTCCATAAAAGTATTAAATATTTACAAACTATGTCATTGTGAGCTTATTGTGTGACATTAACAGGAACAGTCATTTCCATTCATAAAATAACTTTCCATTCTTCTAACATTGTCTAATGAAAATAATTTACAATTTCCTTTTAATCTAAATACTGAAATACTGTTTTATCAAGGATGGTTTGGAACCAACATGTTGTGATGTGTTTGTAAATCTACTGTTGTTACATTTAGGACATTTGTGTAGGTATTTTTCATTATGACTGAAATCTCTCATGTTGTAACATCCAAGAAGTATTTTGTACCAACCTGCTCTAATGTTTCTGTGACTTTCCCAGTTGTTACATCTAGAACATTTACTTTGTTGCCACATCCACAAAATAAAAGTTCTCCATTTTTACTTCTCTGAACAAAAAATATATTACTATCCATTACAAACATATTCATATCAAGCATTATGTATTTACAGGTCTTGGGTTCCATTATTTTTGCAAGAAAATATTCAAGGTTTTTTTCCACAGTTTTTCTTTTTCAAGATTGTTAATTTAGTTCCAAGGATTGTATCAGATGACATGTAAAGAATCCATAAGTTACTTTTGACTATCAGACAATCTGGACAAGCCTCCCTGTACAGATATTATTGTATACAGTGTAGGGAAGTTTGTATATATAGGGGCTGGAAATTATGGGAAGTGTGCAATTGCAAATAGGAAATACTTTGAATTTTACAACATGCTGACAGGCTGTAGAAATTCATGGATTTTCACTGATTTTGCAAAACTCAAGGGCATTTCCAGGCATGACTGACATAAAATAAAATGCTTTTTCAAGATAAAAGTGAGAACCCTGATTTTCATTGAAAATTAAGATTCATCTGCATGCATTTTTGTATTACAATAAAAGTTCTTAAAATAGCTTTTGTATTATTCTTTTTGAAATGTTCACATACATGTATCTTGTGAACAAAATTCTCTTTCTTTGTTCTTTTTCTTAGTGTGCAAAAACTGCCCAAAGCTAAAGTATGTTGCCCAAGCAAGGTTAATACAGGTGAACATCTCATTAAATAGGTGTTCTTAATGCTTAATTTAGAAAGAAAAAAATAAGGAGTTTTTACTGATACTTTATTTTGCAATTTCCTTACAAATGAACTCTTTTGAATCTATTTATATCTATAAAATCATAATAACTAGCTCGTATTGCTTAAACATTGTTAAAGGGATTAAATTTCATCAGTAAAGTTTTACCTGTATTTTTCCACCCGTATAAAAAGCTTCATGCTTCTGACTCACTTCAAAACTAAAATAGAAAACGATAATTATAAGAGAGAGTAAACTTTCAAATGGTACACGTATACACAATTGCTTTAAATTAACTTCTTTACTCCTTACATACTCTTTCTTGTGTATATGTGGTTTGATTTCAATCACTTAATGTTTACTATTACACAACTTCGTCCTCATCATAATAGCTTACAAGTCTTAGGCCAAAACGATATGTTTGTTTCCTGCCAGCAAAATCAACTTTATGTTTAAATGCTGACCCTAAAACATTTTAGTACGATGGCAAAAAATAATTAAATATAAATAAACTCATCATAGATACCAGGATTGAAATTTTGTATTTGCGCAAGACGCGCGTTTCGTCTACAAAATACTCATCAGTGACGCTCGAATAAAAAAAAGTTAAAAAGGCCAAATAAAGTACGATGTTGAAGAGCATTTTGGACCAAAAATACCTAAAAGTTTTGCCAAATACAGCTAAGGTAATCTATTCCTGAGGTAGAAAAGCCTTGAGTATTTCAAAAATGTAAAGTTTTGTAAAATAGACTTTTTCATTGTCAGAGTACACTACAAATAAAATTGAGAATGGAAATGGGGAATGTGTCAAAGAGACAACAACCCGACCATAGAACAGACAACAGCAGAAGGTCACCAACAGGTCTTCAATGCAGCGAGAAATTCCCGCACCCGGAGGCGTCCTTCAGCTGGCCCCTAAACAAATATATATACTAGTTCAGTGATAATGAACGCCATACTAAACTCCAAATTGTACACAAGAAACTAAAATTAAAAATAATACAAGACTAACAAAACCTATTTTGGCTGACTAAATTGATATAAGTTATAAAATTGACCAAAATTAAGTGAAAATAACAATATTTCAATTTATAAATATATAAGTGAAATAACAAAAGAGGGGCTAAATTTATGATCTAATCTTATTGTAATGCTGTATGGAAAAATAGAAGATCAAAATTTATGATCTAATGCTATTGTAATACTGTACGGAAAAGAGCAAGAACACATTAAATAATGCTGCGTTCACACGTAATTCAAATTCGATTCACATTAACTCATTCGAATTAATTTAATTCGCATTCGAAATGTTTTACGTCCGAACATAAATTTTAATACGAATTGCAATGCGCGTCAAATTCGCTTTACTGTCCGAACGACATTAACTTTTAATTCGCATTGTCAATTAAATAATTATAATTTAATTCGAATTACAATTTAGACAGTGTCCACACCACCGTTAAATTCGAATTAAAGCGAAGCAACTAATTCGCATTAACGAAAACGCATTTTTAATGCGAATGGATAACGCGAATTAGCCAATTCGAATTAGATTTGAATTAAAAAAAGAAGAATGTGTGAACGTGATTAGCGTATTCGATTCGCATTCGATTCGAATTCAATTCGTATTAAATGTACGTGTGAACGAGGCATTAGTAAATATATTACAGAATATTTTAACTAAAAAAATTAAAATACAAAGAAAATATTTGGAAAATGGGGGTCCATTTCCCAATCACCTGTGATATTTTTCTTTAATACCCCAAAACTTTGTTTTGCACAGTAAATATATATTTCATTTGTATTATCAGAGACATATAAATTTAGTATACATGTCTCTGGTATTATATCCCATTTGGGAGATGATCCCCAACCTGATAGAAACAAGGTACAAGTGCCTGTGACTAAAAACGAGGGTGATCCTGTGCCCTGGAACAGTTATCATATCCTGCTAGAGTGCTAATTACCTTGTTTTTAAGACTGACATATCATTTGGTCAATGTTTATAACATGATAACATGTGTAGGAAATAAACTTATGGGAGACAACCTTGCTTGAACTGGTTCCCTGTCAAATTATGGGTGATCAAACCAGACGAAGACTGACGGATATGAAAAGCAAAACCTTCTAGCATCTGCTATGAAATAAATATAATCACTATTATTCTACCATGTAAGATCCTCATATTGGTGAAGTTTAAGAATGAGCTTGATGAGATGTCGCTGTTAAAACTGGTTTAACTCCCTTGTCTTATGAATTTTCGTCCCTTTGTAAAGTTTTATCTGTGACATGTTCTGTATTGACTGTAAGTCTGCAGTTTTGGATAATAGCTAGATCTTGCTATAACAAAAGCGTATCTCACTTTGAAAAAAAACATTATATTTCAGTTTCTCACTTATTATTAGTTAAATTAAATCATATCAAATTTTTTATTGGATAAAGCACATATAATAAATATGAAATTGCATAATCCAAGTGTACAACAAAAAGTCAACAGACATGACATAACCTGCGGAACCGTAGCTCTTACATGTCTTAGGTTCTGATGAAATTTTGATAATTTGCAGTTCTATGGTCTGCAAATTGTCAAAAAATATTATTATTTAAAATTAATGATATGCTTTAACCGCAAGTATATTTTTTACTTGTATAGTATTTTCATAAATTACGGTAGACCAACTGGCACTAAATGTTATTATGAAGCTTGTGTAACGGGAGTGTTATTTTGAACAGGCTTCATTGTCTTCCCGTTGTCTGCCCAAGTTCTAGGATATTTGACAAACTATGTAACCATGTAAATATAAACAAGATGTTTATTAAAAGACATACATGGTTGAATATCAGTTTAAACATACAAGAAATAATAAAATACAGTGGAGGCTAGTCTACTTGTTGTATAAAAAGAGGTTCCATATCTGCAAGCCAAAGTATGAGCGTCTGCCCATTTCAAATCCTAAGCCCTGAACCCGGTGAGTGACGTCATATTTATAATTCCTAGGGACAATGAGCCTGGCTGGGATGTGCAAGAAACAGGAAGTAACCCGACAAGAATATTTACATGGGCGGTCTCGGAAGAGAGAGTTACGGAACTATATATAATACTATATATTTAACCAATTTCCCCAAATAAATAGTGTAATTAACAAGTAAACAAAGTGACCACCATTACACCACTTGTCTCAGATAATTACATATAAATTTGTTTGGCATTGACCAAATTATTTGGATTAAGTAAGTATATTACTGATTTGATATCACCATATATGGTGGCATACCTTTGTATTTTCATAAAAGAACATACTGTGTATCAGAATCTAGGACATTACTTTTACATTATCGATTTTGCCTCATCGGTGTAGCTTTACCGCTGATTTTCATCAAAGTATGTGGGCACGACTCCTTCAAGTTATCAGTATAATTTTTATAATTTCAATCAGAGGAACCTATCATAAACTATAAGGCCAAAAAAAAATATATGTCTGTTTAAGGTTACATCATAAAAAAAAAATAAGGTAGGTAGGTCGGTATTTCCATTTTATTTTATTTTTTGCGACATGATTTTTAGGCGTGTTGTCCATTTTGCCGTGGTCAGAGTTTACCCGTATTTTTAAGGATTGGACTATTTCCCTTGGTTTTTTGTGTGGAAAAAAATGGCTGCAAAGTGTTTATTTCATCACACAAGTCACAAGTTTCCTTAAAACAGCTGTCATATTCACGATTGTGAACATTAGAATGTATCAGGCAAATGATTAAATTTATTGGCAACTTTTGACTAGAGTTCTGTTAATTTTTTCTCTTTACAACAGAAATAAAATGACCTAGGGTCGGTCCGGTAACCATAAACAGACATAGATTTTTTTTTGGCCAAACAGCTGTTTCAGTTTATTTCATCATTATAGTAAGGTTGATATGACTTTGACCATATTAGACTCCCTGATCATGATGAACCAGATAAGATATGTTATTGCTGTAAAATGCAAGCACGGACATGATCATGATGATTATAACATTCATTTCTTTACATTTTTTTTGGTTTTTTTTTTCATTCTAAAAAAAGAGCATCCCATCAAAAAGCTATCCGAGTCCCTGTTGGAATTTCTAAATGGTTTACCCAATGCTCAAATTTTTTATCCCAAGTAAACAACATGCACCAGTTAACAAAATATTCTTTGCCTGACCACAAGATGAGTCTGAGAGGTAGTAAGAAAGCACTGTTAGCGCTTAAGTCCTACAGTATCTTGAATAATAATGCTACAAATCGGCATTCTTAAGCACAGTAACCACATCAGAGATCCAGTAGTAACATTCTAGCATCAAGTGCGGGAGGTTGTGGATTTGAACACCAAACGGCACGGAATTTGATGCTTCACTGCTAAGCAGTCTGCATTTAGGGCCAAGACTAGTCAGCTATGAGTCAGAATAGTGTGTCTGGGTAACATGTCTTCCTGCAGACTGTTACCTTGACAATATGTTTCAGAAAGTAAATATGGGAGAACTTGATGTCAAGAGAAAACCCCAATCTGGCTGTTTAAAGTGACATTTAAATGATTTTTGCTTTATACATACGGACCATTCAGGATGCTTCAGTACATTTTTGTACATGTGACAATTTCTATTTGTTAACCTTGTTCACACTGGATCAGTTTCTGTTTTGGTTTTGGTTTTTTCAATCACTATCAGCTTTCAAAACAAAACTGGCAGGAAAATTTAAACAAACAGGACATAGATTTAAAAAGTGTACATTTGTACATTGTATATACCAAATAAAACAGCTATCTCATATATACTTTGATAAAATTTATTTAAGATAACAGAGGAACACCATCTTGATTTGTGACATAAATGAGGAGGGTGACAGCTTTTGTGATGTGGGATATAGGAGGTAAAAAAAAGTGGGATCTGGATAAATGAAGGGAAAAAATTATTAAAAAAGTTTTGTCACCAAATATTGTTATTCTATTGTAGATGAACCAATAAAGATGTTCCAGTATGATACAAAAAAGTTTTGTCACCAAATGTTGTTCAATTGTAGATGAACCAATGAAGATGTCCCAGTATGATACAAAAAAGTTTTGTCACCAAATGTTGTTGTTCAATTGTAGATGAACCAATAAAGATGTTCCAGTATGATACAAAAAAGTTTTGTCACCAAATGTTGTTGTTCAATTGTAGATGAACCAATAAAGATGTCCCAGTATGATGCAGAAAAGTTTTGTCACCAAATGTTGTTGTTCTATTTTAGATGAGCTATTAAAGATGTCCCAGTATGATACAGAAAAGTTTTGTCAGCCACCTGACCCAGATTTAATATGTTGTATATGTCAATGTGTCCTTCAGTCTCCCGTGGAGAGCCCCTGTCGTCATGTCTTTTGTAATGTATGTATCACAACCTGGCTGAACAATCACCGTAACTGCCCAACCTGCCGTAGGAGAGTCAAGAAAAGACAACTCAAACCAGTCCTTCCAATAGTTCAAAACATGATAAATCGTTTGTTAATGTTCTGTGATTTTAAAGATAATGGTTGTGCAGAAACAGTAATGTTAGAAATTTATATTAACCATGTTGAGGGTTGTGGATACAGGAAACTAAAGTGTAGATTTAATCGTTGTGATAAAATGATACTAAAAAAAGACAAAGACCAACACGAGAACCAAGTCTGTGAATTCAGGGAGAAGTTATGTATTGGTCGTTGTGGACTGATGATTCCTGTATGTGTGTATGACACACATGACTGCTATGAAGAATTACAAAAGTTCAATCGAGGTAAGTTCTAAATTTAAAGTTAAATAGAATAGATATAGGTTTAGAAATAAAAAGAGATAAATGAAAATAAATTTGATATGTCTGAAGCACTTTTATTGATGTACATTTACATTCATCAGGAACACTCAAATCTAAAAATTTGAAAGTTCAAGCTGTATACATGTATTACAAGTACTTGGATGTGTGAGGATTACAGAACACATGAATTTCTGGGACCTTAAAAAAAATCAAAAAGAGAAACTTTCATCAGTACAATAGACTTACATTTTAAGTTTTCATGATTACCACAATTACTTTACTGACTATTCTATGCACCACCAACTGGCAACAAAATTGACTCACGTCTTTTGAAAAATTTAAAACAAAAGACAGTGTCAACTTTCTTGTCAATCAAGATTCCTTAAAACCTTTACTAAATTCTTTCATAGATACCAAGATTTGGTTTGGAAGTTTGGCTGTTCCTTTAGAAAACTTTTGACAAAAGGGATATCACATCCTAATTTTTAGCAGTAATGTTCTTTGTATAGCCCGTAAATTGAGATACGAACCGTGTTAACTTATTGATCCTATGAATAAACTTCTAAAAGGTTATCAATTTAACAATATAATAAGATCTACAACTGTATGAATATTGTTTTTATCAGTACTAACGTTGATTTTGCTATCAATAAATTAAAACATAACTACATGTAAATGAATTGCTTTACAGTTATTAACACTTACAGTTCTTCATCCTGTCAATACTTGAACGCAGAAATTAATCAAGTGCCCATGAAAGTACAATTTTTACTCAATATGCTCAATCGACTAAATTGGTACCATCAAAATTAAAGAATCCACAATATTGTAAAGACACCTATCTATTGTTGAAGATCCTGTCTCTCGTGTATTGGTATGTCACGGTTTAACGTCGTTGTCTGTGTCGTCCAAAGACATTTAGTTTCTGGACAATAACTTTAGTATATGTAAATAGAAATCTATGAAATTTAAACACAAGGTTTGTAACCACAAAAGGAAGGTTGGGATTGATTTTGGGAGTTATGGTCCTAACAGTTTAGGAATTAGGGGCCAAAAAAGGGCCCAAATAAGCATTTTTCTAGTTTCCAGACAATAACTTGTGGAAAGGTGTATGGATCTCTCTGAAATTAGACCACAAGTTTCCATACCACAAAGGGATGGTTAGGATTGGCTTTGGGGGGTTATGACTCAAACCGTTTAGGAATAAGGGGCAAAAAAGGGGGAAAAACAAGGGTTTCCTGGTTAATGGACAATTACTTAAAAGTACAATGTTATGTTTGGATTACCTCCCTTACACTGCTTTTAAATTATGTATAAAGAAATGTTGTATTGTCTTGAGGTGATTAGCTGTCAATTTATTTTTTAGAAGTTACTATTACAAATGCTGATTAAGGAATATTAATTTTAGCCATGATTATGTATGTCATTTTCTATTTTAAGACTTTTATGATGTATTTAAATGGGTAATTATGGTTGCAAACTCCATTGGAAATTTGAATTTAGATTATGACCATATCTTGAGGGAAAGATTTTTTTTATTTGAAAAATGGGGGGGAGGACAAATTAAAAAGAAAATTTCTTCAAATATTATAATTTTTTTTTTGCAAAAAAAGGGGGGTAAAAAAAAAAAAAAAAATTTTTTTTGGGGGGAGGGGTCAATTCGCAACAGCATAGTGTATTGCAATAAAGCAAAAAAAAAAGAGGGGGTAAATTTTTTATTTTTTTTGGGGGGTGGGGGAATTCGCAACAGCATAGTGTATTGCACAAAAGCAAAAAATTGAATATAAATTCAAATCATATAACCAATTCTAAGTTCTTTGACTACAGTTATTCTGTGTCAGAAACCTATTATGTGTCAAATATTTAATTACAATCCAAATTCAGACCTGTAGCAAGCGCGAATATTGTGTCCATTTTTGCCCCAACTGTTCAGGGTTGGACCTCTGCAATTTATTTTTTTGTGTAATTTGTCCCCGATGAATTTTAGCAATAATTAAATCATCGCAAAAGTTTCTGAATATATGCAAGTATATCCAAAATTCAAAGAGGTGTTATATATCAGTTTATTCAGAGGTTAGTATAAGATTAAATGTGACAAATCCTTGTTATATTGAAGAACTTACACTCTCTTAAAGAAAGACTCCGTTAGATCCACTTATTTGTTGATAGAATTGAAATAGACGTGCACAAAAGGGTGGTTTAAAAAGGAAGTCTCGCCATGGTGAATTTTTATTTTTTCTTCGAAAAAAACATGTCATTATTTTTAATATTCTTATGCTTTATTTTTCAGAGAAGAGTGAATTAGTAGACAAACTACAGGAAAAAGTTAAGGAACTAAATGCTTTGACACAAAAATTACAGAAAGAGGTTGATAGATTAAAGCAACAGTTGGCTCGTAACCGATGGAATCTTCCAGATGCTTGGGGATCTAGTTGGGATCCCTCTGATAGTGAATATAATGATTCTATGTATAATTACTTATCAGGAAGTTCTTACAGTGATGATCAAGATAGTCATTTCTCCCAGCCTGATTTAGTACTGACAGCAACTAGTCATCCTACTGCTACAAATACTACTACAACAACATCATCAAGTGCAGACAATGGAGGATTCAGAGAATACGTTATTTATCCTAGTCGTAGACCAGCAACACCTGTCATTCAAGCTCCATGGCCCCGTTATGAAACAAGATCATCAAGGTATGTGTATGATATTCGCTCACCAAGCCCTATCCATAATGCTACAGATGCTAATTCAGGAACTACAGATCAAGCATTAGATTTGAGCCACCATACACACCAAGAAAATTTACCAATGGGAGAGGGAATATTCCATCGCTTATCTGCTGGAATATCAGACACTGCTCTCAGTTCCATTAGAAACATTAACTTGGAATACATTCCAACTCCGATCAACAATAACCAGTGTAACACAGGAAGAAGCACTGCCACTGAGAGTAATACAAACCTAAATGTTAATGGGGACGATCATGACAGCCAAAATGAAATCCACAATAACGATGAATTAAGTCACCATAGTGATCACACTGTATACAGTCTCTCTGACACTGATTCAGATCATACACCAACTCGCTGGTGGAGATCAAGTCGATCAAGCATGTCACATCATTCAGAACATCAGTCAGATATACAGAGGTCTAGCAGGTCCCGTTCACAGTCATATGACTCAAATAGATCTAGATCACATGTCTCTCGAAGAAGTAGATCATTGTCATATGACTCAGACAGAAGCCAGTTTTGGTCACACTATCCTTCACACAATAGATCACGGTCTGTTCTGTCAGACAGAAGTGGATCATATGACTTTTACAGAAGATCAAGGTTGTACAATTTTTCAAGAAGTAGGTCTGGATCATTTGATTCATATAGAAGTAGATCAAGATCATATGAGTATACAAGGAGACAACATTTAAGAAGGAGCAGGGCATCTTCAAGATCTTCACAGTCAGATGTACATTACAGAACTTGGTCAAGATCCTACTCAAGAAGTAGGTCAAGGTCAAGAGACAGACTATCAAGAAGTAGGTCAAGGTCTATAGAAAGATTTTCAAGAAGTAGATCAAGGTCAATAGACAGACTATCAAGAAGTAGATCAAGGTCAATAGAGAGACTATCAAGAAGTAGGTCAAGGTCATTAGATCATGTTATGAGTAGATCACATTCAGAAGAATCACTCTCTAGTAGTTCTACATTGCGTTCATATATGAGTAGATCAGGTTCCAGAAGCAGCAGATCTTGTACACCAGATTCTTACAGGAGTGAAACACCAGTAGATGAGATACATGATAGATACAGACCAGAATCCAGTCCAGCACATGAAAATGGCCATGAAAATTTAAACCAATTAAATGAAAATGAAAAAGCTGGAAATTCTAGACATTTGAATATTACAACAGATATTGATAGTACAGAGACAGATAGTGATGCAGGGTACAATTTCAAGAGAAGAAGGTCGAAAAACAGTAACTATAGTGATAGTGGAATAGGAACTGAATCATCTAATACAGATTTATCTAAAAACCAAAATTCTGATACTAGAGACAGTAATGTAAATAATGGTGCAAGTTCTGATGATAGGAAGCGTAAAACTAGTGTTATTGACTGTGATATTAATACAAAGAGGATGCGTAACCAGGATGATAACAATGGAGAACAATCGGATTCAGATACATCATGGGTGCCATCAGCCAATGATAGACAGACCGATGACACTATATCAGATGAAGCCAGCAGTGGAAGCAGCTATGAAGTAGAAGTTCCTAAAACTGTATTAGAATTAATTGATGAAGTTGATTCTGAAGGAACGGATGACACTTGGTCTCCTAATTAGAATAACTGTTTGTACGAGTTCAGTTTTTGTTATACTGATGGTTAAATGTACATTTTTGCCTAATAGAAAGGAGTAGGGCATTAACACTTATTTGGGCTATAAATTGGAATTTTTTTTTAATATTTTTGAGAAATTAATGTCAAAATTGCACTTTTTTTGTGTTATGATTTCATAATTACATCATAATATGATGTCATTTCACCAGAATGGAGAAATTGCAAATTTATGCAGTTGTCTATCCATATTTCTTTTTATGAAAACATCCTGCTGAGCCAAGAGACATAAAGATTGAAGAAGCTTTCTTATACATGTTATAGCTATTTTCATAATCCCAAAAAATATAAAGATTTTTTTGGTTATGCCCATACTTATGCAATCAAAGATAAACCAATTTAGTTAAATTTTGTTTTTAATTTTGAAAACCTTTTATCTAGTGGTGTTAGGGTAAATTTAAGATCAAGTTTGGTAACATTTTAAACATCACATTGCCCATACTCCTTTCTTCATTTTGATAGAAGCATTATTAATTTTGATGGTGGTCTAATTTTATTATGGTAGACAGATTCTAATTGTATATATGCATGATAGATTTCCAGTAATTATCATCAAATATCTAAAGGGTGATCAGTATATAAATTCAATAGAGCCAAAATTGTCTAGTGGCAAATTCCAGTGCTAATTATGGTTTTGATTTTATAACTTAAATTATTGAAAATATTTTCAATGCCCATATATTTTTTAGATTTTTCAATATTCAAATCCTCATAAACTTTTTCTTTTGAGGAAATGGGTTCATAACTTCATACCTCTTTTACTAAAAAAAAGAAAGATCAGAGATTTTTTCCTTGTCAGTTATCACTGTTTCTGTTGTTAAATTGTACCCACTTCAACTTGTTTGAAGAGTTACATGACAAGATCATTGTACATTGTATAGTGTATTTCTGATTATCTAATGTAATTCTATTGTTGGGTAGAAAAAGGTTATGATACATTTGCTGTAAAAAAAAGCCTATATAAGTACTATATATATATAAAAGTTAGTAAAAGATGCAATGACAGATTGTGTGACAATTAAGTGCAGTATCGTGAGTTTATGGTACACAGTGAGTACTAAGTTGTTCTTATTCCAGTATATTTTTTTTTAGATTATATGATTTAAAACCATAGTTTGTTCATAAAGCAAAATCTATTCATTTGAAAAAAAATACTGCATGAATGGTTTGCTCTTCTTTTAATTGTCCAAGAAGTGAAAAGAAATGTGTTGGTATATCACAAAATACCAATTATCTGTTTTATAATTTAAATACCCCCCTTCCCCTCCCCCCTTTTTGAACTAACCATATTTTTCACATTAAGCTTTTTACTTTTGGAAAAATGATAAAATAGGATATTAAAGCTTTTTTTTATGAATTTAAGGATTTCAAGGTATGGTCATTAAAGCATGTTTTCAACTTATAAAACTTTTAATTTAAAATGCACTGTCACACTATATATTGTAAAATTGTAAGATATTAAAAATTCATTTTGAATTTCCACACTTTATAAAATTTATTCCAGAAATAAGTTGTGCACAATGCAATTTAAATGATAAGTTTTTTTTATTAAAACTGTTGAATTACAAGTTGGCCAGAAAAGTCAAGGTCTCATTTGAGAATACACGTACCAGAGTTAAGTGAAAAACGTACCACTGTTCACATGTTATATAACAGGTTAAAGACCTAAAAGTAGTGTTTGTAGTTTATCTTGTATTATGAATATTGTTTCTGCAAGGTATGAAATAATTTATATTGGATTTTCAACATAAGGTTTTGTTGGTTACAATCTGGTTATTAGAAACTATGTATTATAATAATTTTCAGCTTATAGAAGAATGATGTTGAGGTCACTGGGCCAAAAGTTATTTAAATTTATGAAGATTTTATTGTCAGCCCCCTTAATCAAAATCCTTTCAAGAAGCCATTTTTTCTTAAAAATATTTATGAAACTGACTGTTACAAAGCCACTACCAAGATAACTTGTTATCTAATCTTCCCCTTAATACAACACAGTTTAATTTTAAGTTCAACAGGCAAATATTAAGGAATCTGTCCCCATAAATATGATAAAAGAGTCTGATTGATTGTTAGGCCCTAATTTGATTTTCTGTCCATAAATGAAAGACACTGTGCATCATTTTATTCTGTCTTTTATATATCATGACCATTACTCAATGGATGAATTAGTTTGCATGATTATGTGGGACATACTAAATTCCAGTCATCATTTTATTTTATGATCGTATTTTTTTTTCATATGTAGAAAAACCATTCTTCAGCCAACCATAAACAGATTGCAAACACAAATAGTGGTATATTATCACAGCCAAAAATATGAATAACAAAAAATTTACTTAGTATAAATAGTTGAAGTTTGCCAAAACCAAGAAAAGTTATGTTAATTTTATCAAAGAAAGTTGTAATTAATAAAAAAAAAAAGAAATAGTTTCTTTTAAATTTTAGTCAAAAATAGATGATTTGAAAGAATTTCAAATACTTTTTCAATTGCAATCATTTGAATAATTTGAATAATTTGAATAATTACAGAGTTCATTATTGTAATATATTATTGTTATTATTATTCATTGAAACATTAAAATCATCTTGGTTACTCTGTATTTATTATGAATCCCTACTGTAAATCTGCATTACCTCTGTGATCTATAGTTGCTTACATTCAAGTTATTTGGACCCTTTTGGAAAAGTTGTCTCAGTGCTAATCATACGACATCTCCTTACTTTTATATTACCTAGAGTTAATATTTGTGACACCATAATAACCCTCACTGTACCTTGATTGGAAAGAATGGGCCCATCAAGGATAGAAAGCTCATTATAGCTGCTATTTGATTGATAAATAAACCTCTTAAACCCTGTATGCATTTGGTTTTTACTTCACCCCTGGTTTTTGGTGATGTTCGTGTTGCTTAGTCTTTAGTTTTCTATGTTGTGTTTCGTGTACCGTTGTTTGTCTTATGGTTTTTTTTCTTCTTTTTTTGCCACTGCCTTGTCAGTTTATTTTCGACATATGAGTGGAATGTTCCTTTGGAATCTTTCGCCTCTCTTTTTCAATGTTCTGTTATTTTTGTCACCACTGCTGTTTCATTATGACTTCTTCTGTATGATATATATTCTTAAACGAAATTGGAATTTGGCGAAAAGAATGTTTTGAGCAAAGATACTAAGAGCAGTTTCAGTCATGGTTCTGTTGGCCCACAAACAATGATTAGCTGACATGTTTAAATGTGTTATCATTGGTTATAATGCAGCATCTCACATAAACCTTTTAGGTAGTCCATCTGGTAGGATAACTCCTTTTTAATGCAGAATTTAGTTAAATTAGAACCCTATGGGCAATATAGGCTATTTCCATCACTTGGCATCCATTGGTGAAGGTTGTAAACTTTTTAAATTATATTCTCCTCCGAAATCACTGCCTTAGTTTCAACCAAACTTTAAAAAAATAAGGAGATGTGGTATGATTGCCTGAATGATCCTGAGGGTATTTTTTTTAAAGTTTGTTTTTTTGTTCCTGCAAATCAACCGACATTGCCACCATGACTTAAAATTGAACATTAGGATAAAAAACTATGAAATTTCATATATCTTGAAAACTGTAATAGAAAGAAAATCTGGCATGGACAAAAAAAGCTCAGAAGATTTACTTTTTTTCCATTTCCATCAAAATTATCAGATAGTTATGTGATGTTTGATTAATCTATTGTGGTTTTTGCCTTTTATCTCAAAATATTAAATAGATTTGAACTGTAGAAACTGTAATCAGCAAATATGACAAGCAATACAAAATCTAAAATAATGCCTATTAGACTGGAAACATCAGATGACTCCATAACTGAGTTGAGTTATTTCCCTTAAATTGCTATTTTTGACTATTTTTTATGTTTTGCCTATTATTAATTAAAGTTCTAATAGATAGGCAAAAACTTAAATTCATCATTTTTCCTGTTAAGAAAAAAAAACAATTATGTTACCAAAACCTTCAGGCAACTTCTTCTAGGAGTTATCGCCCTTTAACATGTTTAATCACAATTTTTGACTAATTTTCATGTCTATTACCTTTAAAACTTTAATAGCTAGACAGAAACTATAAGAATGAAAAATGATGAACAATGCAAGATCTACATAAAAACCAATATGACAGTTATTGCCCTTAAATGAAGATTACCCCTCAGTCGTGGTCTACTGACTAAATTTTTTGCATAGTTTACATACTACTAGGGGGTGTTTAACGACCTTGACTACCTATGAGGGTCTCGCACGGTCAGTATAGTTTACATGTAAAAGTTTGATAAGGTTAGTTTAAGATAAAGCACTTAAGGTAAGTCAATGACATTTGGTATTCAGTTGTATTAGCATTAGTGCATCTCATTTCCATGGAGATTATATGACCCTGTCCCCTCAGTATTTACTTTGGAACTTTTACATAGTTTACATAATTGTGATTAGGTTAGTTTAAGAGGAACCACTTATGATGTCACTGATATTTGGTATGCAGTTGTATCTGGTTTGACATCTCATTTCAGGGAGATTATTTTGTCATAAATTTAGAATGTTTTTCATTGTTTACATGTAGAAGTATTTCAATTTTACTGATTTCATCACTTGCATTTTACTATCAAAATTACATACATACCAGGCAAATCTCTGTGTCAACAGTTTATTGGCTAATTTTCTTGTTTTTTGTCGAGCCTGCGACTTTTGTCGCATTAAGCTCGACATAGGGATAGTGATCCGGTGGCGGCGTTAGCTAAAGTCTTAAAAGCTTTATATTTTAGAAGGTGGAAGACCTGGATGCTTCATACTTTGTATATAGATGCCTTATGTTAAGAAGTTTCGATCTGTCACATGTCCATTGTCCTTGACCTCATTTTCATGGTTCAGTGACTACTTGAAAAAAAAGTTAAGATTTTTTGTAATGTTAATTTCTCTCTTATTATGAGTAATAGGATAACTATATTTGGTATGTGCGTACCTTGCAAGGTCCTCATGCCCGTCAGACAGTTTTCACTTGACCTCGACCTCGTTTCATGGATCAGTGAACAAGGTTAAGTTTTCGTGGTCAAGTCCATATCTCAGATACTAGAAGCAATAGGTCTAGCATATTCGGTGTATGGAAGGACTGTAAGGTGTACATGTCCAACTGGCAGGTGTCATCTGACCTTGACCTCATTTTCATGGTTCAGTGGTTATAGTTAAGATTTTGTGTTTTGGTCTGTTTTTCTTATACTGTATGCAATAGGTCTACTATATTTGGTGTATGGAATGATTGTAAGGTGTACATGTCTAGCTGGCAGGTGTCTTCAGACCTTGACCTGATTTTCATGGTTCAGTGGTCAAAGTTAAGTTTTTGAGTTTTGGTCTTTTTTTCTAATACTATATGCAATAGGTCATCTATATTTGGTGTATGGAAATATTTTATGATGTACATGTCCGTCTTGCAGGTTTTATTTGACCTTGACCTCATTTTCACGGTTCATTGCTCAGTGTTAAGTTTTTGTGTTTTGGTCTGTTTTTCTAATACTATAAGCAATAGGTCAACTATATTTGTTGTATGGAAGGATTGCAAGCTGTACATGTCTGCCTGGCATGGTTTATCTGACCTTGACCTCATTTTCATGGTTCATTGGTCAATGTTTAGTTTTCTTGGTTAAGTCTGTATCTTGGAAACTATAAGGGAGCTACCATTTGATTTTTATGGGGGGGTTAGGATGAAATTTGAAATAAATAGGCAGGACAGGAGTTTTGAGTAAAAAAAAAGAGGCAGGATGAGACACTTGCAAAAAAAAAAAGTCAGGATAAACTTTTAAAAAAAAAGGCAGGACCGAATACAGTGAAAAATAAAAAGGCAGAACAGAGATTACAACTAAAAAAAAATGCAGGACAAAATTTTTCATCCTAGCCCCCCCATAAAAATCAAATGGTAGCTCCCTAAACAAAAGGTCAACTATATTTAGTGTATTGAATGATTGTAAGGTGTACATGTATTTCTTGTTTGGTTTATATGACCTTGACCTCATTTTCTTGGATCATGTTAACTGTATGTGATAGTTGTAGTAAAGCTTTATATTTAGGACTATCAACATAATATCAATGATTAGTAAAGAAGGCGAGACATTTCAGCGTGTGCTCTCTTATTGCATTTTATCTCGTGAACTATCATAGATAGGCATTAACTGTAAACAACAACATGATTACCAATACAAGTAAAGTGTTCTGGAAGGGTAAACGGTTCCTGCTCCACTAGGGGCATACTTCCTGTTGTTCATTGCAAGTAAAAATGAGGTGATAAGTTGTATTTGGTGGTGTCACAATCGATGAAAAAGGTTTGTGGAACATACCGGTAGTTATCTGTGACAGATATTCCATAACCATCAACCAAATCACTAAGGAGTCCATAAAACATTAAAAGTGAACGACTTTTACGATTCTAAGTTTCAATTTTGGACCCATGGAAAGAATCGTGATGAAATTGGGCCTTCAAAAATATTTAAATTTTGAGGGGGCATTAAGTTTTACCCTTGTCCGTCCGTACATCCAAAGTTGGTTTCCGTTCTCTAACTTTAGTTTGCCTCAACCAAATGTTATGAAACTTATACAAAATGCTTATTACCACAAAACACAGATCAAATTTGAATATTGGTGGCTTCACTTTTACCATTCAAGAGTAATGCCCCGTTACAAATGGAAAAAATGCTGAATTTTTCGTTTCCGTTCTCTAACTTTAGTTTGCCTCAAGCAAACTTAATGAAACTTATGCATAATGCTGATTACCACAAAACACAGATCAAGTGTGAATTTTGGTGGCATCAATATTACCGTTCTAGAGTTGTGCCCTTTTACAAATTGAAAAACGCTGAATTTTCCGTTTTCGTTCTCTAACTTAAGTTTGCCTCAACTAAATGTTATGAAACTTATACACAATGCTTATTGCCACAAAACTCAGATCAAGTACAAATTTGGGTAGCGTCACTTTTACTGTTCTTGAGTTATGTCCCTTTATAACATTATATGCAAGCGGGGGCATCATCTGTGTCCCATGGACATTCCTCAATTTTCACGATTTTAGCTTTTCTCGTTGTTGAGTTATAGCCCTTACCAGTAGCCAAAAGTGGTACTTATTATGTGATTGAGTTATTTCCCTTTGAACAGAAATGGTTAATTATATAGGTTTGTTTGTTATTCTGTATAAACTAATTTTCTGAATGCTATATATATATATATATATATTTTATTTTTTTGATGCAGTGAACCCCTTTAAAAACAAAGCTCATATTGTCTATTAATAAACATACATTTAGATTTCTGATTTTGGGCCCAGTTTTCAAGTTGGTCCAAATCAGGGTCCAAAATTAAAATGTGTTTGATTTCAACATACATTGAATATATATAGGGTTCTTTGAAATGCTGAATCTAAACCTGTATTTAAATATTGAATTTTTCGGCCCAGTTTTCAAGTTGCTCCAAATCAGGGTCCAAAATTAAACTTTGTTTGATTTCAACAAAAATTAAATTTATGGGGTTCTTTGAAATGCTGAATCTAACCATGTATTTAGACATTTTGGATTTTGGGCTCCTTTATCAAATTGGTCA